GTTCATTGGGGACTGCTGCACCCCTACTTCAAAAACAGTTAAAACATGGGCTGGGTGCTTCTTTGCAGCTACAAGACTGTGTTGAGAATACAGACTGGAGTATTTTTGAATCTCAGGACCTGGAGGAGTACACTACATCCATACTCTCCTAACCACTGCCACTCTCACCACTGACAAATGCATCCAGGTGTATGCCAGCCACAAGCCCTGGATGACACGTGAGGTCAGGACCCTGCTTAGTAACAGAAACACTGCTTTCAGGTCGGATGACTTGGAACTGCACAATGCAGCCACAGCAAACCTGAAAAGGGGCATCAGACAGGCCAAGCTGGATTATAACAACTAAGGACTATCTCCAGAACAACAACTTGAGGCAACTGTGGCTGGGGGTCCAAAACATCACTAACTACAACCCCAGACCCAGGGCTGTGGATGGTGATGTTGTGCTAGCGGAGACGTTGAACTGCTTCTTTGGCCGCTTTGAACAAAAAACACCAGACGCAGTCACACCACACACACAGGCCAACACCAGCCACATCTTTGTGTTGGAGAATCATGACATGAGACGCATGTTAAGGACAGTTAACAGGACCCCCAGAAATGCAGCAGGACCTGATTGCATCAGGTGCTGAAGGTCTGTACAGACCAGCTCACAACCTGTCCTTAGCACAGACCACTGTCCCACCCTGCCTGGAGGCCTTGACCATTCATGGCTGTCCCAAAAGGAACACCACCAGCAGCCTAGTTAACTTCCACCCAGTGGTTCTCACTCCATTCGTTATCGAGTGTTTTGAGAACCTGGTCAAAAGTCACATAATTCGAGGACCATGTAAATTGAACCCCCACAAGTTTACACAGAGGGATAATAGAGGATGCCGTAGCCACTGCTAGCCGCACAACCTTGATTCATCTAGAGCACAAGGACAGTTATGCTAGGCTTCTTTTCACTGACTTCAGCTCAGCATTTAACACAAACACCCCTAGCAGACTGGGAACAAAACTAATCAACCTCGTCCTCCCATACTCCATCTGACTCTGGATTAAGGACTTCCTGAGAGTCCGCCCACAGTGAGTTAAAGAAGGGCCCAAACTTTACCCAACATTCAGCCTCAACATTGGCTTGCCATAGGGATGTGTGCCGACTCTCCTGCTGTACACTCTCCACACACCCGACTGCACCCCACTCACCCAAGCAACTCAATAGTGAATTTCACAGATGACATGACAGCGGTTGGACTCATCATGGGGGAAGATGAGTGTGCATACAGGGACAAGGTAGAGAAACTGGCATCATGGTGCAGCAGCAACGACCTTTTCCTCAACACCACAAAAACAAAAGAAATAATAGTGAACTTCAGGAGAAGCACATCTAATCGTCATATACATTAATGGGTACTGTGTGGAGAGGCTCTGACTTGAAGGTTCTGGGCCTGTGCCTGGGTGATGACCTAACCCAGAAAACCAACACCTGCGATGACCAAGAACCCACAGCAGCAGACAAGTATAGCACGCTTCAATATTTCCTGCATGACCAAGTGAACTTAACAACATCTAAAGAATAATTCAATCAAATATTCACAACACACATATGACAAGGCTGTTGCAATAATAAACAATAAATGAACATTGTTACATCTTTACTAACCTGTGCAATACCCAACCTGTGTAACCAATACACAATGACTGAAGCACACACACACACACACACACACGCATGTATATATCTATTTATTTATATTTATATTCTGTTTCTACTGTGTTTATTTACTAGAAAGGTTTTTAATTTTGTATTTTTGTGAATAGTTAGATTGCTTTCTTTGCACTGAATGAGACTGCATATAATTTTGTTGCACTTTTGGCATATTGACGATAAAAAGACTTCTCGCTGCTTGCCTTCCTGTAAAAGTCATCACACACTGCTGGTGATAAACAGTATCCATTTCCAAGGTGGTGGTAAGATCTGTTAAAATCCAGGCCATAGAAAATAGTCACACACAACGGTTTACAAAGTGTGAGGCTACTGTAGTTATAATGAATTTAGTTATTACACTTTAAATAATTACTCAGAGAGGCAATTAGTCCAGCTGATTCAGTTACATTATCTTGTCCATGAGTGCTAACCACCGCACCACTGTACAGCTTCAGTATCTTGTAATTTGCTAAAATGTTGACAGTGGACACACAATCCCTCACCAGTAACATATCTGCTTGCTTTTTTCTGTAAAATATGCTAAATCAGACTTTATCTGCTTTTGGTGTCTTCAGCAGCATTAACTTTTCATGGTTATGTTTAGACATTATTAACCACACTTTGGTTGTGTTGACAGAAGGATTGTGAGTCTGTAGTGAACAAGAGACAGCATATTCACCACTACTCATACAACACTATTACACGTTTCATTCACCCAACGAAACACATTCATGCCTAAGCATATGCATGATTACACACCATCTTACACAAGGAAGACAAGGGATGGGAATTTGTAACAAGTTAGCAGTTACGATTCCATGATCAATATCACTTATTGATTCAATTCCTTATTGATTCTCATTGCGCTCTTAAAGACATCAATGGTCATCAGTGTTGGAGTCAAAAAAGTAATGGATTGCACAAAACACTTTTATTCAAAGTAAAGCAGTACATTACTTAATTACTCCCAGTAGAAAGTAATTCATTATTCAACTCGTTACGTTACATTGAGTTTCTCCATAACACAATTACTAGTTAACAATTTAAACCTTTAGGTTACAGTTCCACACAGCAAAACAAATCCCCATCTTAATGAGCACACACATATGATCTTTCTCTTAGCGTTTAGGTATAAACACAAAGCCGACAAGATGAAGCAAAGATAAAAACCAGCCTAAAGAGTCTTCAAAGCGACGTCCACAGTGATTCTGCTTTAGAAACATGAAATGGTAGAAACGGAGGCTGCAGCCTGACTGTTCATCGCTGCTTTTGTTACCAGTTAAAGTTCAGGGTCTGGCTGCTGTGGTCGGTCAGCAGTCACTCAGCTTTAACATACCTCTGGGTTCTTGCTAGCTTAGTGTTAGCATGCCATCTGTGCAGGCACTTGCAAAGAGGCAAAGTTGTGTTAGCACCATAACGCAGCCGTTTCTGTCTTGGATCCAGTTTGCACTTTACAACTGGGCTCTCATCATTCTATGCAGTAGAAATAAAAGTTCAGTCCATATCCCTGCTGTACACTGCTCTACTGCACACAAACTGAAATCAGCTGATTGTAGTGCAAGTGGAACCAATAAGCAGGATCAATAGGTAAGCAGACTAACAATTCCAAGGAAGTGAGCTGCTGGGAACACTGGCTCTCAAATCCCTACTTAAGAACTCAAGGAGCATGAGATCAATTTATCCACCTTCCAACTGGTGGACAACCCGCGCTACCACCTGAGCCACAGGTACCAGTTTAACTTCTACAAGACTGCGGCAGCAATTCTTAGTTTGCATTACTTTTACTTCTTATCCTCAACCTTTAACTACACCATCCAATCGTCACTGGCTAATACAGCAAATAAAGCAGATATGTGAGTTTTCTTTTGACTTGGTTCTCTGTGAAAGTAATATATGAAACATAAAAACTCACACAATCAGGGTGGCGAGAAGAAGGTGGTGTAAAGCGGGCTAAGATTCTGATGCTTTTGATCCAAACAACAAGAACAACTGCATTTGAGTCCAGAACTACTTATCTCAAACCTTTCAATTATCACTGTACCCGTGAATCCAGATTTGTTTAAAATGACCCTTTTTGAACAAATCAATAATCTGAATGGACTGACCTGCAGTAATGATTTGCATGAGGCTAAATGACCCCTGGATATTCCCAGCCTTCATTTATTAACACACCCACATGAGCTTGTTAAGTTCTGGGGACAAACTGCCACGATGTGTTCCACACCCTGACTTTCAAGGCAATCAGCGTGATAAAAACACGTCCATATTTTTGATGTTGGCAGCTGAAGAACACCGGCCTGGGAGGCTGGATTCACGTCGACTCTACACTCTATTCAAATTCAGCCTGTTTTGTTTATATCAGGAAAGACAGATTTACATGAACAGCATAAGAACCTGTTCGGCCTCATTAAAGAAAATACTATTAAATAGGCGCATGGAGGAAACAGGAGGATTTGCACATACACAAAACAAGTCCTGATCCAGCTGGATTCCTGTCGTTAATTTCCCACCTCCCTGCACTGATCATGGAAGATCATGGCGAACAGAGGGGTGAGATTTTCCTCAATGTGGTTAATTCATTATAGGAACACCGAACCTCCCACGCAGAACTACTAAATGAGAAAAAGCTGTTCACGCCTGTGTTATAAAAAACATTGATGTGTTGGGATTTGGCGGAATTTGGTGTTGCGGTTTCTCTACGCTCGAGAGTTAACCACTCATTAACTGAGCTGAGAAACTATTTTGTTTGTTTGTTTGTTGTTCTTCATAATTATAGGCTAGTGAATAAGGAGACATGTATGTAGATCTGACTGTGATTGGGCCATGCACCTCTCATTCTAGTGCCGCGCCATGGGAGTCGCCTCGATCCATCACAAGGACGAGATGCTGCAAAGGAGGATTTCTCTATTCGAGCCTCCTCTCGAAGTGATAAGGTGCATTTCCTGTCAGCATCTACTTATGAAAGCAGGTTAGCAGCATTCCAGCAAAGAGATGGGAATTTAGACCGACAGGTGCAACAGCATCTAGCCTCCACGCATCGCTCCTGCCACGCTGACAAATATCCAGATACAACCACCCCGGCGAATAACTAACAACCGAGGGAGATGACAGGGAAAGACACTAAATTCGCACATATGTTCTGCGTGGAAATCCTTGAATCGTGGGAGCGAATACGTGGCGAACTAGCTAGTAAGCACAGCCACCAAGCGAACCGCGGCTGCTAGTCTCATCTCTGGGCTGGCTGCCTCCCTTGGTTCGTGCTCGTTTTTCCCCTCAACAAGCAAAACAGTGCGAGTGTTGCTGGACTTACCTCTCGGCCATTTTCCCGACGGTTTTTAAAATCCGTTCAAGATAAATCCCACAACATCTCCCATGTTGCCTAAATTGCGGTTACCGTCACCGAGTCGGTCATCCGTTCCAGACTTCTATCAAGCCGCCAAAATTAAGGTACAACACATCCGACCATTACTTTCAGCATAAAAGCTTCTCGCCAACGATGTAGGGTCCCAGTGACTGGAGAAACGTTTTATGCAGTTGGGAAGTCCACCGTCAACAAGCACTATACTGCAGCCTGGGTGATCTTATGTCAGCTGTTGTAACATGACAGCAGTTTACTACACTGTTATCCCACAATACGAAGCTCATGTAAAATCACAACCAGAAAATTTGAACGGCAAGATCTCAAGTTTTACCGAGGGACATCTGGAAACAGTCCCTAATGACACACCTATCAACAAAAGCACAAGAGGAAAAATATATATAAAATTTCTGATAGCATCTGCTTTTAGTACCACAATGCTTTCCACAGCTTTATGTGGAGGGGAGGCAGGTCTACTCTGTGCCTCCTAAAGTCCACGATCATCTCCTTTGTCTTTGTGGTGTTTCACCGACCTGAGGAATATTTACAGATGCAAATGAGCAACAATTTGAAAAACACACCTATCAAAGCAGTTCATCATAATCTCTCACTGATCTGAAATCAATGTCAAATATGCCTGTCTAGACATATACTGACAGTAGGTTATTAATAGGTACTATTTGGACCGTTAAAGTGCTGAACTAAATCCTGTACTTACAAGAGAACCTCTGGTGGATGCCTTAGACTAGGTTTAAAATTGGGTTTAAGGCTGGCTGACAATTAAGATTGTTTTTTTATGGTTTTGTGACCAGTTTTTATTGTTGCAGTTGTGCTAGCAGGATAAGAAATGTATTTGGTGTCTTCACAAAGACAGCGGGCATCTATCTGTGCATGCCATTTTTAACCCCAAGTGGACATTCAGAGCATTTGCTGCCTAGACCTGCTTCCTAGATTTTTCCATTGTAAAGAGTTTCTATGCTCCTGTTAACACATCAGCATTTGCTCATTTGGTTTATTTTATTTCATGTTATTATTAGAGAGGATATTATGTTGTAGAGGAAAGGGGGTGAGAGCCAGGTTGTAGAAAGACAGGAGAAAGTGGCAGAGGAATATAAAAGGGTCAGAAAGACGAGAGTGGCAAAAGTCTAGGATGTAACTGTTGCATCTGCAACAGAACACACAAAGAGAAACACACAACAACTGAACAAAACAAAGTTAGGTACACAAACAAACATACAATTTTGCTGTGATTTGTGTGTGTGCATATGTGGGAAAGAGTGAGAATGTGTGTGTCTTTGTATGAGCGTTCGTCATGAAACGTACTTGAGGATGAGAGACTGGAACAAGGCCCCCAAGGAGCTAGAGGCAGACGGCCCCAGACCCAATAGATCTGGGGTGTCTGCAGCCCTTTTGGCCTCAGCTCTTCACCGCCTCTTCTTCTTTAAAATATTCAAAATTGTTTTGGGTCTGCATCCATCACTTCTTTTACCCTCCCAAAAATGGGCATGATGAAAGCTGATTGTTTAAACCACATTATCAGTTTCAGGTGAATGTGGATGAAATGTCTCTGAGAAGCCTGAAAACAGAACGTTGTCCCTCAGGCTGCGGGCCTGAAGCACAACAGTTTTCTTCTGAGAGCCAGGTCATTCATTCAGTGAAGGATTTCACCAACTCTCTGAGGGCCACGTTTTCAGCAACGGGTGTTTCCACCTGCTGCTGGCTGAACTCCTCAGACTCATGCAGCGCCAGAAAGTCTTTATGAAGGAGTTCCAGCGAGGCATGTTTTAAAGCTGGAAAGTTTTTGCATCTATGGACACCAAAATGTACATCATATCACTGCTGTGTGGAGAAACCGGTTCCAACAGAGTTTTCGGGGCAGTTTCATTTCAAGGATGGCATTCCTTTGCTGCCTAACAATTTATAGTTAGGTTGATTTTTCCTTTCATGCACAACCCCCATGCACACAACTAACCTCCACCCACTCTGCCTCCAACTACGCCCGAGCCGAACCAGGGTTTGATGGACCAGGGTCTCTGTGTGGCCTGGGTCCACCAGGCTATGGTGGACCCAGGCCCTTGGAACCTTACTGGTATGCAGGTACATCCCTCTCCAGCTAAGGGAGAGTGTTGTAGGGCCGGGAACATGGAGCACCTGTCCCATCTTCATCCGCAGGCATTTTTTTTTTTTTTTTGGGTTATACCATCTCTAACCTCTGGGACCTGTGGAGAAACGGAAGAGAGAGTAGGATTAGATGGATCTGCCGACCACTACTGCAGCGGATCACAGGGATGATCCACCATCATCTGGGCTAGCACCTCCACCGGTAATGCCGTCCACCAGTCTGTAATCACGCAGACCGGGTTTTAGACAACACTTTAGCATGAAGTGGCAGAGAGCTGTGATAATGACAGTTTATTTACTTTTACAAAAACATTTGACAAAAATTGTCCTCAGGAGTTTTCAATTTCCACAGGTCACAGCGTCTGGCTTTCTCAGCTGGCCCTACCCCTGCATCCTGCTTACAGCACCCTTCTCCAGGTCCATGCCAACGTGCGCCTACTCACAAAAGGGAAGGCATGATTAGATTATGAGGGTCAGCTGTGTGGGTCAGCCTTCCCTGACACCACACCCTGCTCCACCCATCCCCTACAGCTAAGCCACAAACCACAACCCGCCACACTTAGCTAATTTAAAGGCAAATCTCCAATCTTCCTTTTATCTCTAAAATTCTTGAAAGAATAGTTGTAAAACAGCTAAAAAACCATTTGCAGATAAATAATTTATTTGAAGCATTTCAGTCCTGTTTCAGAACTCATCACAGTACAGAAACAGCGATAGTGAAGGTTACTAATGGCCTCACACAGTTGGCTCATGTCTAGGGAGGCCTGCTGGACCTCAGTGCGATACTGCATACTGGTGAACACAATATTTTGTTACAGGGATTAGAGCATGTCGTAGGAATTAAAGGTGCAGTAGCTTCGGTCATAGCTAATAGACTCCAATATATCCATGTACATGGGAAGTTGTCTTCATGCACAAAGGATAATTATCAGTTCCACACGATTCCATGCTTGGACTAATTCTGTTTACATTATACATGCTTCCCTTAGGTAGTATCATTCGAAGGCACACAATACACTTTCATTGCTATGTAGTTGACACCCAGCTTAATCTATCCATGAAGCCGATTAGTTAAACTGCAGAAATGTCTTAAAGACATAAAGAGCTGGATCACCTGTAATTTCCACCTTCTAAAATTGAGGTTCTTGCACTCAGTTTGAAAAATCTTAAAAACATGGTGTCTGATCATACGTATTCTGGATGACATTACCTTGGCCTTCAGTAACACTGTGAGAATTCTTGTATTCATTTCTCACCATGATATGTCCTTTAATGTGCATATTAGGTAAATATGAAGGACTGATTTCAAGAGCTCTAAAATCAGAAACATCCTGTCTCAGAGTGATGCTGAAAAGCCAGTTCATGCATTTACTACTTATAGGCTGGACTATTGTAATTTGTTATTATTGGGCTGTTCTAAAAACTTTTGGAAAAGCCTTCAGTTCAATTAAAATGGTACAATGTTGAATCAGCTAAAGGCTGCTGCAAAATGCTTTAAAGTATAAAGGACATTTAAAATGAAAATTTCAAATTATAAATGAATTGAATTGAACTTTATTAGCTCCACACTCAACTACAAAAATGCATGTGCTCCCTGTGGCAAAAACATTCACACTTTTCCTTACTCATCCCTTCTGATAACACTGACCTGGTATTATTCTGCGTCTATTATGTGATACACTGATAATGGGTCTTTCTGGTTTTTGTAGAGTCAGCCTAAAACTATAAAGGTAACCAGTGTATTATTATTTAGCTTGTCTGTTTTCAGTCTTCCCATTATTTGTTTATTATTATATTATTTATTATTCATTCTTTTATGATTTCTTTTATTCCTTTCAAAATGTATGAAATTATGATCACAGAAAGGTCCCTTTAGCATTTGGTCCAGCATCTAGAAAGCATCACATTGGTCGAGTTTTTCACCATGACAGTGATCCCAAATACACTGACAATGGGTTAGGTTTAGAGTTAGGGTTACACCTGGGTAAATGCAACATTGATTTGCTTTACCACAGCCCAGACCTTATAATTACTTAAGCAGTTTTGGGTTATCTTGACAGAGAACAGGACAAAAGACAGCCAACATCCAAAGAAGATCTTTGGAATGTCCTCCAAGAAGCTTCAAGAGAACTATTCCTGAAGACTATTTCAAGAAATTACAAGAAAGAAAAGTTTTCTACAGTCATTGGTCTGTATTTTGAAATCTTCCATCCTGGCAGCAGTGTAAGGTGAGCGGTTCTCAGACGTAGATATCTCCACTTTCTGGGATTTAAATAAAGCTGCTAGGGCAAAATATGGATCACAAGTAGTTTCTCGTCATATCTTCGTTTTCCCTTTATGATACATGATCCAAGTGGTTTCGGCTCGAGACAGGTGGAAAAAACAACACTTTTTTCTTAAGTAACAGTGACTGTCCACTGTTGGGCACCATGATACCACCCAGGGGAGCAAATCGATCACGTGACTGAAAACTATGACTATGGCAACTATTCCCGATTTTCCTACAGAAGAGATGATGGGTGGCTCAAGATCACACAGTATTGTAGTTATGGGTTTAATGGGAGGCTAGACTACCCTGCAGCACTGCAGGTAAACTAAAGCTGATCGGTGGTGTAGCAAGGAAAATGTCGGCTTGTTATTTATATTACAGAAAAGCCAACGGGAGAGTGGAATATGTAAACAAATTTAATTAACCTGAACGACACCGGCATCACCCCGTGCTTAGTGATGGGTGTAACCGGTCTCGTGCCTGCTGATCACTGCACAGGGCACACAGACGGAGGCCTTTAAAGCCTGCTTTGAACTCGCTCGTATCTTCTTCCAAAACAACTGTTAATCATTCATAAGTCAAATATATTTTCACAACGTAACCGACGTTTTAAGCCTTCCTTCTTCCATCGGACACCCACATTTTCATTTTCATCGTCCCTGGCTAAAAACTGCAGGAAAGCAGGCGCCTCCTCCGATCTCCTTCCGATCGAACACGAGCATTCCCGAAAAATAAACCGTGGTCTGTTTCCATTGGTGAAACGCTCGTCCAATGAACCAGGGCCATCTGTGTGGGATTCAACGCTGTTAGATTTCTCAGCTTACGTTTCCTTCATCGGACTTTCAATCTCATCGTTTCACCACCTGCTACCAGACTGCAGCTAGCATCATGAAGTTTCCGGTGGTAATTACTGTAGTTTTGGCATCGTTGGCGCTAACTATCGACGCTACGGTTTACTTCAAGGAACAGTTTCTGGATGGAGGTAGAACACAGTCCATTTCATATCTGCTTGTCTTACACGAATGATTGCATTAAAAAAAAAGTCAACGTCTTCACGGCAGTTCACATTAAATCTCTTATTTGGTAATTTAATTAAAGACAACTTAATATATGTTCCTGGAATTTTTAAGGTAACTTACTCTATAAATTTAACCCATTGATGAGTGGCTGGCTGAAAATAATAGCGTAATACATTAGTAAAGCATACGCTCCAATGTTATTTTTTAAGTTAAATGTGTCTAAATGTCGTCTAGTACTGGGTTAAGGGCGCAACTATTTTCTATTTTCCTATGTTAGTCAAACCATGCAGAACCGTGCTGGAACCTTTATGGGTAAAAGCATTTGGATAAAATATTTGGAGCCCCTTAATTTTTTTTAAACAGAAAAACTCTAAACCCTGTCACTGCATATAGGAGTTCATTTATATAATCTCAAAGTTTTTCACTTTTATCATCATGTTGAGTAATTGCATTTGGAGTCCTCAGTAGGTTTGTGGAACAAGTAGTGTAATAAATGTGCACGGTGGCTTGGTGTTAATGTAACCAGAATCAGAGGAATTACAGTGAGTAACCAGTCGGGTTGCATTAATGTGTTTCAGATGGATGGAAGAGCCGTTGGGTCGAGTCGAAACATAAATCAGATTATGGACAGTGGAAACTGAGTGCTGGAAACTTTTATGGGGATGCTGAAGCTGATAAAGGTAAGAATACTATGTTGTGTTAGAAACACAACTGATACAAAATTGTGTTATTTGCATAGACCAAGAGTTGGTGTCTTATCATGCAAATGCAGCTAACACAGGTTTGCCAATGTAAATGTGAGCACAGGGTCAGACAGATTAAACTCAGGACTGGAATATCCTGCAAAGAGCCTCCAGTGCTCTCATGGCCTTTGATACTCCAATTCCAAACCTATTTTAAATTTGGATACTCAAAAAAAAAAAAAAAAAAAAAAGATTTGTACTGTCAGTAATCTTCCCATTTGGTAACCTTAGATTAGTTTTCCCATTCCAAATTTCTATTACACTGATAAAATAGTTAATGTTGGACTTTAATTACAGATGGAAGAATTATAAATATGACTGATAGTCATAGAGTGCATGGATGTAAACACAGTGCTCTGACCCAATGCAAAAGTACCCTTTTTTGTCCAGAGAATTTTCCCTGTCACTGTCTTGGCTCTTTGAAACCAGAAGTCCCGATCAGGCTGCAAATCTGACTAAAAGTATGGGACAGTGCATATTTATATAGCGCAGCCCCATCATCAACTTTTTGGGTACTACTGGAAACCATGATTGTACAGAAGAGGATTAGGGCCACTGGGAAAAAAATTGGGCACGTCTTTTTTTTCCTCTCCTTTTTTCTGAGAAAAAAAGTCTGAATTCTGAGATCTGAGAAATTCTGACTTTTTCATCAGAATTATTTTTCTCAGAATTCTGAGATTAAAGTCAGAATTTTCTCAGAATTTAAATCTCAGATTTTAAAGTCAGAATTTTCTCAGAATTCTGACTTTTTTATCAGAATTCTGGAAAAGAAGAAAAAAAAGATGTGCCCACTTTTTTTTTTTTTTTTAAGTGACCCTAATCCTCTTCCGATACAAAATAAAGACTGTTTTATTTCAGATTTTAGAATCTCTGACATTGTTGAAGTGAAACATTGAACCACAAAATTCTGTTAGTGCAAAAGAAGAATAGAATTAAGAAATTTAGGGTGTCAAAAATGTGGCCCGTGGGTGAGAATCAGCTTGCCAGGGGTCTGTTTGTTTGACTGGATGGGTCTTCAACATGTGAAAAATCCCTAATTATTCAATGGTTTTCATTCTAGTGCAGTTCCTACTATTCAAGATGTAGTTTCAGAATACCAGCATTAGTGCATACGATTATAGAAACAGACATATTACTTTTATTTTTCTTAAGGCATTTCAGGCTGCTCAGTGTTCATATGGATATTTTAAAAATATACTTCTTTACATGCCTTTACTGAAATTAGAAAGAGTTGTGCATTTTTATTCAGTCTATATTGGTAGTAATAATAATAATAATAATCACTTTTGTGCTCATTCTAGGTATCCGGACCAGCCAGGATGCCCACTTTTATGCCCTGTCAGCCCACTTTGAGCCATTTAGCAATGAGGGAAAGCCCCTGGTCATCCAGTTCACTGTCAAGCATGAGCAGAAGATAGACTGTGGAGGTGGTTACATCAAGCTCTTCCCCAATGAGCTTGACCAGAGTGACATGCATGGAGACTCCCAGTATTACATCATGTTTGGTGAGTCTTGGAGAGACACTGAAGCCTGAAACCAGAACATGATGTTTTTCCATCTGACTTTGAGCTGTTCGAAATGACGTCCTTCTTTTGTAATCATGGTATATAATCATATCATAATGTGGCCTGTGTACACAGGGCCTGACATTTGTGGATACAGCACAAAAAAGGTTCATGTGATAATTAACTACAAGGGTCAGAACCATCTTATCAAGAAAGACATCAAATGCAAGGTAGCTATGCACCAAGACTGTTAAATAATTTCCCTTTTTAAATTTTGTAAACCATGAATCTGTTAGAGATTTCCCATAAATTCTCTCCATGTCATCCTTCAGGATGATGAGCTGACCCACTTGTACACACTGATTGTGAATCCAGACCAGACATATGAGGTGAAGATCGACAATGAGAAGGTAGAGTCTGGCTCCTTTGAGGACGACTGGGACATGCTGCCCTTAAAGAAGATCAAGGACCCTGAAGCTAAGAAGCCAAGCGACTGGGATGACAGGGCTAAGATTGACGATCCCAGTGACACAAAGCCTGAAGTAACATGACTTAAAATGATTTTAGATTACTTGCAATAAAGCTATACAGATGTTCTGAGATTAAAGTCCCAAATTTACAATAAAATCTTGAACATGGTGTTAATGACGTTGAACATTTTCTTATTGTTCAATTTTGTTGTAATGCATAATTTCATTAGGCCATCCACTGCAGCCAGAATACACTGAATAGTGCCAATTGTGGGTTGATAATGTTGATCCAGTCTTACATTAATGTTGCCATTCCTTGTTTTTCTTGGAACAGCCAGGATGGAGCTATTTGTACTCTTGGACAAGTCCTGTTTTGATTGGCATCTCTGATTGGTAACTTCAGTGCTGCTGTCTTCCAGGACTGGGACAAGCCAGAGACGATCCCTGACCCTGATGCCAAGAAGCCTGACGACTGGGACGAGGACATGGATGGAGAGTGGGAGCCCCCCATGATCGCCAATCCAGAGTATAAAGTATGGGCTGCATTGCTTGAGGTTTACCGAAAAAGTGAAGAATTTCCATTGGAGGTCTTTTTACTAGTATAAAGGGAAGAAAATGTAACTTATTCTCTAATACCTTTGTAGGGGGAATGGAAACCCAAACAAATTGACAACCCTGACTACAAGGGAACATGGGTCCACCCTGAGATAGACAACCCAGAGTACACTCAGGATGCTACTATGTATAAATTTAACAACATTGGAGTCCTGGGCCTGGATCTGTGGCAGGTAATTATGCTACACTACTCCCCCATTAGGGTCTGTTATAAATAAAATGTTACAAAACAGTTTCTTTCATGTAAAAATGAAACTACATTGCGGTTTATTTATTTCAAGACAAATAAATTTATAATGTATCTGTATGTCACGACAAAATAATATTGCATTGTTTATTTTGTTTGTTTGTTTTGTTTGTTTTTTCATTGAAAGGTCAAATCTGGAACCATTTTTGACAACTTTCTGATTACCGACGATGTGAAAGAGGCAGAGGAATTTGGAAAGGAAACCTGGGGAAAAACCAAGGTAGGACTGTTTAGATGTAAATGGTCTAATGGGGGGTTTCAATTTAAAACCCTCTGTCGGAATACAGCCTGAAATCAGTTCTAGTCAGAATTAAGGGCAACACAATAAATAGACCATGCATATGTAGCTTTACAGAGTTGATCAGACCTTTTCCAAAGAAAGAAGATAACTTCTCAACAGCTTTCATGTAGTCTGTCATGTTTCCACAGCTCACAGCTGATCCGGATCAGTGGTTTAGGGCATGTAAACACTAGAAAGCAATAAAACTATCACATGTGAGCAGTTGTCTAGGTATTTAAACAGGGAAGATGGTACTTCTTGTAGCTTAAGCAACATTAACTATAAGGCCACTTCAACTCTTGAGCAGCTTATTGCAAATTGATTCTTTGAGCAACTTTTGAAATTCCATATTGGCAGTACAGGTTGAGTTTCTTCACCTAATAAGTTTGTCAGTATTATACCATCTAACTTTTAATGGTTGGCACATTATTCATGATCGTGATGATTGTTTTCTAGGTCCAAATGATTACTGGTTCTCATTTGGGGAAGAAATATTTTTAGTTCCATAATTTATTATGGAACAAAGAGTTTTGGTCTAGCTTGTTATTTTGATGTTTGTTTTGTGCATCTTGTTTGTTTACATTTTTGTGCTTGTTTTTTATTGAGAACTCGTGGTTCTCAGTCAAACTTGGTGTACTTAACATAAAAAGGACCCGAACTAAAAGTTTGGCAGGTGATAAAACAAAATGATTTTAATGAAGACAAAGAATGTAGCTTTTAGGTTCAGCATTGGTTCACACTGCAGGTGACAGTTCGGTACTCCCCTATTGTGGATTCACTTTCCATTATGTTAAACATTAACACTGTTCTTCACCTGCCTAGGGACCAGAGAAGAAAAAGAAGGATGAGCAGGAAGATATGGAAAGGAAACTGAGGGAGGAAGAGGAGAAGGAGAAGAACAAGGAGGACACTGAAGGTGATGATGAGGATGACAAAGAGGATGGTGAGGAGGAGGAGGGAGAGGATGATGAGAAGTCAGATGATGATGCTGGGATAGAAGAGGACAATAATGGCAAACCAAAGGACGAGTTGTAATGGTGTGTGTGTGTGTGTGTGTGTGTGTGTGTGTGTGTTCCTCAGGTTCAAATGACAGACACAGAAAATGGGCTGATGCCATCTGGACTGTAGCTTTTCATATAGCAGCCTTTTATTCCGGTGGGATGTTTGAGGGATGGGATTTTTTTTCTTGATTCCCATGCATTTTTTCTCTCCAAACCATCAAATTGGAGAAGGGTTTGTTTATGCTTGTGTTTGTGTGTTTGGTATATACGTGGATTTTCTGATTTAATGTGATTTCTTTCTTTTTTTTCTCTTTTCTTTTTTCCCCCTTTGGAAATCCCATAACTTGAGCGTCTGTGATGTCTGGTTGTGCACTTTGATCTCTGTCATACCATGATGCACTATTTGTTTTCTGAGGTGATCCTTTCGTAAATTATTCAAATATTACATTTGTTTGTGGACATGACAGCTCACAACATTTTTGAGTTTGTTCATAAGTCCTCTGTGTGATATGTGTGTGCGTGTGTGCATTCCCAATGTTTTGATTGAGTATCTTTACTTTGTGAACACAGTTTTGAGTTAATAAATTGAAGCTTCTCAACTTTGCTGTTTTTCATTACTTTCAGTAGTTGATCTCTGTTGCCTGCCTAACTTTGGCGGTTTCTTTCACACTGAGTGATTTTAATCTGTGTATACAGCAAGAGACATGAGAAGTGCAAGTATTAAAGTATTTGTGTGTTATTTATGTGGCATGCTCATTTCAGAAGCTGGAAAACAAATTAAGTCACCCACTCCCAGTACTTTTATAAATCATTGACCAAACAAAGTCTAATTTGCCATTCACCATGCATCCTTTTTTTTTTTTTTTAATTATTATTATTTTTTGTTTTGCATATTTGTATAGCTCATTTATTGTGAAGCACTGGGCTGCAGCTTGCTTCAGTTGATGTCGCTGATTACATCTGAACATTTTAAATGCTTCATTCAGCGTGATCAGCTGACTGAGTTTGACAGGCGAGCTTTGAATAGACAAAAACCAAATAGTTGCATTGATAGCTCTAATCCCTGACAATCTGTACTAAAGGGACTATTTGTGAGTTAAATTTGGAGGCGCTAATTAAAAATTCTAATCTCCTTGAGGTAGCTGTGTTGTGATTTAAACTGAATTTAATTGAATTATAATCATTGTAAATATTTTTGTGCTTGGAGTTGGGTATTTCCGACAGGATGTGAAGTCAGCAGCATGTCATACTGTGACTCCAGCAGTAGATGGCGTGGGTGGCCAGCATGCTCAGCGGCACTAAGACAGCTGAGTCACACATATATACAGAGCCGGAAAAATACTGGCAAAAAAAGAGCTGCTGCTGTTGAGAAATTCTTCCGAGTCCACTGTTGTCCGAGAACCACCGGAAAGATGCTAACTATAACACTGAAGACACTCCAACAGCAGACGTTCAGAATCGAAATAGACCCAGAACTGACGGTGAGTAGAAGTTAACGGGGCCGAAGTAAACATGGTCGGGCTCGGGGGGCTGGCTGAGGCATGCGGGAATTTTACCCGGTGTGGGGAAATGGCCATAGTAAAGGGTGTTTAAATTGAGATAAATCAGTTATTTTTTTTATTACAAACCGCCCCGAAATAAATAACATTACGTCGATGTGACAAAAATGCTTCCAGACAAGTTATCAGTTCTGCAGTATCGCAGAGTTCACATAAGGTACTATAGCGCAGGAAAGACAGGAATAGAGCACATTTTCCTTCAAAATAAAATAATAAAACACTATCGAAAAGTCGGCTCCATCCCCACCACAACCATGCGGAAGAAGCTACATGAATGGCAGATCTGCAGTTTACTCATGGATGGTGTTTGCGTATTCACTGGGTTTCGTTGTGATGTTATGCAGTGAATAAGCAGCATGTGTGTACGTTGAAATAACAGACCGGAAATATGTGTGTTTTGTTATTTCACTTGACACTGTTTCACTCGGACTTGTTTCAGTATATCACCATGAATGACGGTGCAGTATTTTAAGCCTGTCCGCAAATGTAACACTGGGATGGCTGATCGTTAAATCTGTTAGATTAAAAAAAAAAGAAAAAAAGTTTCCCCCATCAAATAATGGTGCATCAAATTAAATTATGTTTATTAAGCTAATAACGTTTTTAATAACGTTTTAAGTATTATGTCATGTTAATGGCAGGGACTGTAACAATCATTGGCATCACACAGTGTTTGGTGTTTAGTTCTTCTTTACATGTCTTCTTATCAGTTGGTTATGCAAATATATACTGATGTAAAAGTGTACCATGAGCTATATAATGAGCTTATAGCTTTTTATGTAACTGTCAAGTCATTTAAAAAATGTAAAATTGCTCAATTCATTACTATTATCTTTTTAAAATGGAAATTTCACCCAACACATTTATTTTCCCAAGTGGACCTTTTGTTATACTGGTGCGCTTGATTGCCATGAGGTTTGTCACATGGACTGTGCATTGAGCTGGCTCCAGAGAAAAGAGGGTAAAGATATTGAACCAGCTTAAAACAAACTACAGGCATATGTTGTTTTATTACAAGAGACTCAGAGACCTGCCGCATGAACTTAAAACACCTTTGTTTCCTAATGTGTTCTCAGCCTGCTATAGCTCTAGGCAGAGGAATGTAGTGATTTTAACACATAAAATATTAATTTCACAGTACTCACAGTTATAGATCCAGAGGGAAGAATTCTAATTATTGAATTATCCATACTTAACAAAAAGTTCTGTATTGTAAGTGTATACGGCTGCTCATTCTTCCACGTTTTTTTTACTGCACTCTCCCTAGATTGCTTACTTGTTCTTGGGGGCGACCTCAACTTTGGACTAAATGAAGAAATGGACAGCTGAATTCAGCAGGAACTCAGCGCAATTGGCTGTCCACAAATATAGTTAAACAGTACATGATCAATTTCAGACTTTGCGATGCATGGCGTTCCTTCCACCCTAACCGTAAGAAGTATACTTTATTCTCACATATCCATCACTCCTACTCTCGTTTCTATTATTTCCTAGTCAGCAACTCACTGTAAAGTGACATGTCAGACACTGAGATGCACTGAGATACTGAGATGCTCCTGTATCTTTGATTCTAATAAGTAAGAAAATCATTCCACCAAGTAAAAACTGGAGATTAAATACATCATTGCTTAAAGATGAAGATTTTATTAAATATTTAAAAAACAGTGAGCTTTATATTTAGACTGTAATGACCTGCCTGGACCATCAGCATCTGTTTTCTGGGAAGCAGGAAAAGCTGTGATGAGAGGTAAAATAATTTAATTCTTATCACATAAAAAGAAAAGAGAAAACAAACGTATTCGGGAATTAGAAGAAATAATCAAATCGTAGAAGTGTCCTCCCAGGAACAGGAAAATTCTGAAAAAAATACATAAACAAAACTAGAATTCAATGAAATTTTCAATAAAAAAAATCAATTCTTACTACAAAGACTGCTTGCAGCAGTTTGAACATGGTAACAATTCAGGTCGATTTCTAGCCAACCAGTTAAAAATAAATAAAGAAAAATGACTATAGGTGCCATTAAAGACTTATCTGGGAACACATTATATGACCCTGAAAGAATAAACAACACTTTCAGGAAATTTTACAAAACTTCATATTACCAACAGATGAACCCATCAAAAAATGAAATCGATCCATTACTTGACAACGTAATCTTTCTGAAAGGATCAGACAGTCAAGCAATAGCACTGGCTTCACCGCTGACATCAGGTGAACTCCAGAAAGCCCTGAAAAGTACGCCCAATAGTAAGGCTCCAGGTCCAGATGGATTTCAAGTAGAGAACTCTGGCACCAGTATTCCACAGAATGCTGCAGGAAATCAAGGAAAATGTCAGACTACCACCAAATATGAATTCTCCCAACATTAGTCTCCTACTAAAACCAGGCTATAGTGATCGAGAGCATAAAATGCAAGAACGTAGAACATAAAATCAGTCTTTATGCAGATGATGTGTTACTTTTTCTCCAACACTCACAAACCACTCTCTTTTTGAGGTAATTATATTAAAAAACAATCTCAAGAGTCTCAGATTATTCGATAAGCTGATTAAAATATATCTATCAGTCTTCTTAGACCAAAACTTCTGGTCTCAGATATGTTTAAAAACCTTTAAATTGATTAGAAATCCCAGTCTACAATTAATACAATGCAAAATACCACACAGACTGCACTATACGGGTCAACAGATGTTCATGATGGGTTTTACATCATCTAACAACTGCTCACACTGTCAAGGCCATACACCTGACAATTACATCCACGCTCTTTGGTTCTGTCCGCCTGTTCAGAGGTTTTGCCGTGCGATATGTGAAGACTTGTCAAAGTGTCTGAAATGTAGCATTCCAGCCTCCCCTTCAGTTTGCTTATTGGGCAACTTACATGATGGCACTAGAGAGATGAATACAGCTCACATGGCTCTCAACGCCCTATGCATCGCCAAGAAGACTCTCCTCATGAACTGAAGGGTTTTGGGGGTTCTCCGCCACCGGGCTGGTGTGTTTTGGCTGGGCCTGGGGGGCTTGGGTCCTGGTTAGTGTGTTGCCAGGGTGGTGGTGATTGCATGCACGGTGGCCCAGCCCTGGTGCGGGGGCCTCTGGTGCATCAGTGGAACTTGGGGGGGGGGCTCTTCAGCTGCCAGGGTGGTGGTCTCTGCTTAACCACTAAATGTTATTAGGGAAAATAACGTATTCTGATGCTGATACTTGTGTTGAAAGTGTGGACTTCAAACTCTGTACCAGTTTTAACATTGTGTTGATAGGCTACATAAAACCAGAGTTATGATAAGAAAAATACTTCAAGTTTTTTTCTGAATACTATCATCACATCTAGTGCGGGAAGAAACGGTAAAAACAGTAGTGATGTCAGGCCTGCAGGTTATCCCTGTGATTTGTTCGCTGTCTTGTGGTGAACAGAAACTATTTTTGGAGTGGCACAAAGAATTTGTGTGGCATCTTATTGTGACACCTAATTGTTTTGTAATTTTAATTTTAGTAGTAGTTTTAAATGTACAAACAAAGAACCCCCCCCCCCCGCCCCCGAGGCATTAGCTGTTTAAATTTACAATGTATATTTGCATTTAAACAATAAACATGTTTGTGGTTTTTACAGTAAGAAATATAACTTTTTCCAACTTGGATTTTATGATTTTTGTGTAATTTTAGATCAATTGTGTTAACACAGTGTCTTAATATAAAACAATAACTCTAAATTCAGACATGTGAGGTTGTGCTGAAAAGAATGATATCAAACAAGGCAAGTTTTAAAGGTGAAATACAAAGACAAAATCAAAAGTAGTGAAAAATGGCCAATTAAACCCTGGACCTGGAGGGTTAATTAGCCAACAGCTGCCAGGTGTGGCTCATCAGGAGGGTCGAGGGGCGCAGGGTGGGAGATGCTTTCTGGAACAAGCCATCGGAAGACAAAACACACATACAGACAGAGAGAGACAGCAGGCCAGTACAGGAGGACCCAGGGGATCATAGTTTAAAAAGCAAAGAGTTGCAGCTGTTAAAAAGAATTCACAGACTAATAAAAGGCATAAATTAATCCACATCAACTTATAACAATATTCTAATTAGAAATCCTCATGAGAACCAGGAGATATAATACAGCAACACTTTGTGTCTCCGGTTAAAGTAAGAAAATCTCCCAAAAAGTCAAAGTAATTGTATTTAACATCACTGTACTTGTGATTATTTATTACAGTTGTATAAAGCGCTTTGACTGCTCAGAAGAGTAGAAAAGCGCTATATAAGAACCCGTCTATTATTTATTTTTCAATTTAGGAAAATATTTTCTTTAAAAACTCTGATTTTAATATGTCACGTAAAAACAATGAACAGCCTTGTTTTTTGTGACAGATGTATGCAGTTACACTGTGAAAACATATTAGGCAGCGTTGTGGCAAAATGGCATAACTGGAATTATAAAAGCAACAATCAAACTCTTAACTGTGCTCTCATTTTAAATAGTTACATTTTCAGTTATATCGATAATCACAAATAATCACTTTGACGTGAGACAGTGAGTGCAGATAAATGGATCTGTCAGTTCGCAGACAAAGGATAGTAAGAAGAGCTCATTCCACCTAATATTTCTTGATATGTTTGACAGGTGAAAGCCCTGAAGGAGAAAATAGAAGAGCACAGAGGTAAAGATGCATTTCCTTCAGTGGGACAGAAACTCATCTATGCAGGTAAGCTTGAGGGTTAAGAGAAAATAATAGCTGATTTTTAATCAGACGTTGTTTCTCATGTCATTACCTCAAAAAAAAATAGTAATAATAATTTACCCAGTATAATTAATTTGGGAAATGCAGACTGCAAACACACTATAATTATAGTAATTAAATTGAATAGAACAGCTGTGGCAGAGGTGGATAAGCTGCAACAAATGTGGCATTTAAACAGTTCTCCACTTCACGACCTCTCCTATCATCTGATCTTAAAAGATTGTCTGAGAAACAAGTGGCAATACCTAAGTAAGTTTTAGTAGAGACCGCCACAGCAAGCAGTCCAGATATAATTGAAATGAAGACTGCCATCTTTATACATTTCAGAAGAAAGCCTTATATGTTTGTTGCAGTATATATTAAAATTACAAAAATTGTTGTCTTCTCTTGTACATTACTCGAAATGTAACTATGTTCAACTTCCTGACTGAAGGATTTTAATCTAACTCACTGGGCTGAGCAGGTTTTCCATATGCTGTAAGACTAAAGCAGAGGTCCAGGCTCCAATCTGCTATTGCTTCTATTTGTTCTCTATCCCCAGCTTTCCTGTCTTCTCTCCACTGTCCGAACACTATAAAGAGTAAAAGCCACAAAAAATACATTGGAAAAAAAAACAGAAAGTAAAACTGCTTCAACACACTAAACTGTTTATTATTGGAAAAGTTAACTTAAAGTATTAAATCTAAAAGTACTTTCTCTGCAGAAAAGATTTCTCATTGCTATATGGAATAATACATGTTCTGAACAGAATAAACGTATTCATCCATCCATCCGTCCTCCTCTGCTTATCTATTCAGGGCCGTGGGGGTGCTGGAGTTTATCCCAGCTCCCATAGGGCGAGAGACAGGGTACGCTCTGGACAGTCTGCTGCAGGGCCGACACAGAGAGACAGACAACCACTTGCACTGACATTTGCACCTATTTAAAATGACCAGCTAACCTAACCCCACTTAGTGCATGTCTTTGGACTGTGAGAGGAGGACCCAGGGAGAAAACACGGGGGAGAGCCCCACACGGAAAGGCCTCGGACACATGGTAGATTTGAACCCACAAACTTCTTGGTGTGAGGCGACAGTGCTAACCACCACACAATATGCTGCCCCAGATTAAATGTATATTAGAAAAATTTAAATGTCACAACTGGAATTAAAGGTGAACATAAGTCTCATGAGTTTGACTACTACCATAATGCTGTTGAATTGGGGTCATCATAACAGCTTTGACTGGCAGCTGCAGTCACGGAGAAACTTGCACAAACCGTTTGGGAATGGATCAGGACCCAGAGAGGAGGTCCAGCGTTTACTTTACAAAACCACAATGGACTGTTTCAAACTGACAGCGTGAGGTGTTCTGCAGTAAACTGGATTAACCGACAGAAGGACCCGAGGCCCTGGCGTACTTTTTCGGTAAGTTAAATGTGTGTTTGTCAGCTATTTAGCAACTATGTCCTTGGCTAGCTAGCTACGATGAGAAGTCAGCTGTCAGGGAAAGCGCCGTTCATCAGTTAATCTGTGCACATGAATGAACTGAGAGCCGACACTTTGAGCTTGAATGTTCATTAAATTCAGTGCTGTAGTTCAGACATTTGCTCAGCTGCTCTGACTGTACTGAACTAAAGGATGTTCAGACCTGCAGCTGAAGGTGAGGCGCTGAAACCAGTTACATGAGAAACAGAGAAAAGTCACCGGCCCGTTCAGTCACTAACTAACGTGTGTTAAGATTGGAAAAGCAACAGGCTGGCCTGTCCTTCAGCTCTGTGTAGAGCTGATTATTAAATATGTGCAAACAGCAGCATGGTTTCTCTCTCTAGCCACATCTGTAAGGACAGTAACACGAAATTTACAAAAACCTTGCAGTTCAATAACTCGTCATTAGCACAATTAGAACAATTAGAATTAGAGGACTGAAAATGTTCTCACGGTTACAGCTTACAATACTCAGGCACCAGCTCAAACACTGGTGATGATATGTTTGTCTGTTTCCCTGCAGCTGACCACGATGCACCAGGACTGGAAAGCTGCTCCATCATCATATGTTTGGAAATCACAATTTAAAAACCACCAACAACTCAAAGGTAAACATTAAACTGTAAACTTTCCTAAATAAAAAGCTAATGTCAGCAGAACTGTAGAACTGAAAAAATGTAAGTGTAGAACTGCAGATCCTGAAGTGTGTGAGGACAGGAAAGGATCAGATTTATTTCAGATTTGAGGGATGAACATGTTACGGTTTGTGTTGATTCTGTTCTCTTTGTGATTACAGGGGCTGCCCTCAGATTTGACCTCAGCACCACCCAGTGACAGCAGACAGATCATCCTATGATTCACGCTTTGCAGTAACTCCAACATTAACTGATGAAAAAAGTGCAAAGGCTAAAGCACCATATTGTGTGCTTTCAGTGAAAGCTGCAGCTGTTTTATTGATAAAGTTAAAGACAAAAAGTCAAAGGGATTAATCACCCATGCTACATATGAGCATAAACAGTACCTCAGTTTGGTGTTTCAGAAAGCTGCTGATCTCAAACCTGCACAGCTTCTGTTTAATAGACTGAATGCAGTCAGCTGCATGAAGAAGACATGAGATTTTCTCTGACAGCATTGAATACAACCTGATGAAGGTCAAAGGTCGTCACTTGTATGTTAAACTAAAAGGTTAATCTACAGTTCTTTCACACTGTGTGTGTTATTTGTAATTGAGTCAGTCATACCAGAATAATCAGAGGATAATATATATTTTAATAACTACCTACAGGACTGAATATAACCTGATCATGTGAGTCCAGAGCCTCTTTATATGAGGATGATGTGCAGTACTTCTAACAGCACACAAAGCAAATGTCGCTGTCACACCGTTCATGAAGTGCTGGGGTTGCACATTTTCTGGGATGGGCTTAAGGTGGAGGTCTGAAGATTTCCCTCTGAGGGCGCTGCTGGTAAACAGTTTGAGTCCTGCTTGATCCCTGCGATGAGCTTCAGTCTTCCTGATGTTTCTGAAATGACGTCTTTCTCAGTAGTTAAACAGAACATCTGGCAAAGGACAGCTGTGGTCCTGCTGGTCACTGGTTTTCCCCCAGGGTGAATGTATCTGTTGATGATTCTAATAAATAAATAGAAAAATGACGCCGCCTTCTGCTGCTGTGCTTTTAAATCTAACATTTTATTTAAAGTTTCCATGTTACCAGGTATGAGAGTGTTCTGTGATTTGATCTAAAACTGTTTAAAACGTCATTTTTATATTATCTTTGGTCTTGTGTAAAATCTCAGGGCAACAGTTAATTTCCAGATAATTATGGAATGAACAGTAACTCTGGGCCTCTGTGGAGTGTGCAGTAGTAACAGGTGTGTAGCATTGTTAACTAGATAGCAACATGCCTCTAACACAGTGCGTATGCTAACGGCTAGTCTAGCAAATGAATTAACAGGAGCTAAAGAGTGATGTTAAATGTTGTAGAACAATTAGATGTTGCGATGTGTTTTTGTAATTATAACAACGTGGTTGTTAGCATAGGCTTTTTCATCAGAGCACCCCTAATGATGGCCATATAAACAGTAGTAATAATAGCACATTTTCATGTTATTTTCTGACATTGTCTTCAAATGTTATATTTTCCTAACTTTTCTATTGATGACAGTACAGGATAGAATGAAAGCAGGTTTTATGTCCAGTGTTGTTGATGTCATGGTGTTACAGTCCGCTCATACAGAGGCGTTGCTGCTTCTGCAGCCTGGTTTGTCATCTATAGCCTGATAAGCCTTCCATTGCACATAAGCACATTCATGTCCTACAATTTGACAACACTGCAGCAGTTTTAACATAAACATCTCATGCCCTACTGGATTTTAATCAAACATAAACGTGAAATCACACTGGCAAACTTTTTTGACATTGATAGACTTCTATTAGCGTTACCCAAACATTAATCCAAAACTAATTGGGTGGGGGTGCCACGTCGTCCATCTTTTTTACAGTCATCGATCTTGCCTGTTTCATGAAACCAGTCATCTCCATCATCAAAGGTTTCCTTCTTCACATGTTAAAGGAGTTATTAAAAGTTTCTTCAAACTACACATTTGCCAGCGTTATCAGTTAGAGAAAACCTATGAGGATAATAAATAAAAGCCACAAATTTTGATTAGTTATTTCCGATCAGTTTCATGATCACATAGCAAACTGCACATACTGATTATTCTTAAAGTGAGTTCAGTATCATATATTTGTCTGAGCTTATTAGGTGCTGATATGGGCCAAAAGACTCTGAATGTAAAAGTAGAATTTTTATTGTGGCTCCTAGAGAAATTAAAGTAATTCACTTAGATTCACTCAAAAAAGAAGAAGAAAATATTACTCTCTGGCTCTCTTCTACAGCCTGTCTTTGTCCTTGTGGTGACCTTTCTTTCCTAAAACATGACCTAGTCAATATCAGTCTAGATATCCAGCTAGATTGCTTTTTAAGGCATAGCTCAGAGATCTCTGTCTGACTGGACTGGGGAGGGTCCTTAAACATTTGGTCACAGGTTATTTCAGATGTGAAAATAATTATTAGCTTATTACTGATGCAGTTACATGATAAGGGCTTTAAGCAGCTTGTTAAAAAGCTTGACCCAAGATATGACATTCCAGAAAAACATATTGGTAGTGCTTTTTATTACAGCCTTGTAATAGTTTAGTAGGATAACATGGAGGAACAGAACATAATAAGGTGGTAAGTTCTAAGTTATTACCATTCAATTACCAAAGTAATAACCACTAAAGTACTATTGTGGTAGCAACAGTGGTTACAGTTGAGTATTACACTGAAATTTATGTAATTGGATAATAATGGCCCAAAACTGGGGGTAATAATGTGGAAACACAGCTCTGTAAGAAAGTGGCAATAGTAGGGTAACAAGTCAGAAACAAGCATTAATAATGTGTTATTACCACTCAATTACCTTTGGTAGCTTAAAGGTGTGTTATTATTGACCGGAAACAACTGTGGTAGTTTTTACGTAATAAGCAGAAACCAGAGCCAAATAAGCAAAATGCAAGGAAAGCAGGAAACAGAGTTTTGAAATGCAAAGTGCCTAATAACATATTCATAACCATGTTAATAAAATTTTAAAAGAAACTTAAGTGTATCTTCCAGTTTTAAAAAGGGAAGCCATTGTAGAAGTGCATAACACTTTTTGTTTCGTAAAACGTTTCGTAAATTATATAAGAAGGATGATGCCACTTGCAGTTGCTTGCCTTGGAGATTGATGGATCACACTATGAGTGCGTGATGTCTCTGAAATAGCAACAGCGAAAATGCTCAGCTCAAAACTTTTTGATGGGACTTCCTAAACCAGTGATTGATTTCACATTGGCTACGTTTATATTTTCTATACACCCTACATGTAAAGGTTACAGCCTATAAATCTGTTTCATTGTCAGTGTTCAATAATTCTGTCATATCTTTTGTCACTTGCTGTTTCTGTGTGAATGTCACAGGCAAAATCTTAAACGATGATATCCCACTGAAAGAGTACAGAATCGATGAGAAGAACTTTGTGGTGGTCATGGTTACCAAGGTTAGTGTCTTTGGTTTCTTCTTTAGACGGTCATGTTATACACACAACTTTGTTGCTTTTTTATTTACTCAGTTTTACTATAGCTTGTGGCTGCCAGGGTGACTATATTGGTTCTGTGCACTTCCTCCATAAAAACGATATCAATACACTATTATACACTAAGCATCAATTCTTAACACTATCACAGTTATTTATTGCAATCCTTGTCCAGTTAAAGTTGTGCACAACAAAGTTCTCCTGAAGACTTTTAAACTACTGTTTAACTCTTTGCCTGCCATGTCTTACCAATACTGCTATCATATCCCTGTATTTCGGCACAAAGCCTCTGTTAGAAGCCTGTGGTCTGACTAACCCTGTGTTAGTTCATTTTTCCTGAATCTATTTAATTGGTATACATTTTTTCACACCTGTGGTTCTTCTAGTGAAGTTTTAATATCTGCAAAAATTACAAAAAAGTTATTATTTCCTTTGCATGTCATTGAGTAAAGTAAGTATTTGATCCCCGAGCAAAACATGACCAACTTGGCGAGCACAGTGGTGACAGTTGTTATATGTGGAATTTTGTCCCACTCCTCTTCACAGAAACTCTCTAAATCATGTAGATTCCTTGCCTGCTGCTTGCCTCAACACAAAGCTTTCAGCTCCCTCCACACATCTTCTAGGACTGAGGTCTGGAGGCTGGCTAGTCAATCCCTCATCTTAACGTGCTTCTTTTTTAGGCATTCATTTGTTGCCTTGGTGGTATGGTTTGGGTCATTGTCATGCTATAATACTAAGTCAACACTCATCATCAGTGTTCTGGTAGAGGGGCTTCTCATCCAAGAGTTTACAATACATACCTTTGTGCTTGGCTGTGGGCTGATTTTCTTTGGGTCACACACTAGCATCTCTCTTTCTCCACAGTGGGTCAAGTTAACGCTAAAGAGATCGATTTTGGTTCCGTCTGACCACAGCACTTTCTCCCAAGCCTACAGTCTTCTGTGTGACGTCCTTTAAGAGGTCGTTGGTCTTATCCATGGTGTGGAGAGGTTATAATGGAAAGAAGTTATTCTGTGGACAGGTGTGCTTTATATACTTACTGAGTTGAGTGCAGGAGTATCTGTAGTTGATCAAATTGACTGATTGGTTGTGACCAATCCGTGGGAGCCAGAATACTGGCTCAGTTGTAGGAGATCAAAGATTTATTTCCCTCAATGACATGCACAACAATTTATAACTTTGATGTAATATGTTTTTTAATGTATATTTAATATCCTGTCTCTCACACTTAAAATAAATTGGCACAAAAATTAATTTCTTTGTAAGTGAGCAAACTTACAAATATATTAGAATTCAATGAGTCGCTTTCTCTCAGAGTCATATTTCTGAAAGTGTAATAATGTTCTATGGTTTAATCTTCTCCATAGTAGTCATTTACTTATTATAAATAAAGGGAAGTTCTGCCCTTTGAAGTATATGGGTTTTCTACAGGAAAGCCCACTCTGCATTGCCTAGAGAAAACCATGATGGGCATGGGCTAATCCACACTTGTCCACTGTGGGCTCACATGGAAATGTTTCTTGGGGTAGTTTAACAGGGTTGCATCCTAACTGATTCTGTTTTAGTTACATGTGTGTAACTGTGTGTTTGTTTGACTATCTTAGCAACACCACTAATAATCAGCTCTCAAATGTCATTTTAGCCCAAACCAACCTCTCCTGCTGAAGCAGCCACTCACTCAGTTCCCACGCCAGCTGCAACTCCAGTGCCACCCTCAGCTGCAGCACCAGCACCAGCCTCTGGCCCAACACAGGTGCCCTCCACACCAACACACACAATGTCTGCTGCTGTACCTGCCTCACAGTCAGTGCCTCCCTCGGAAGCCCCGCCCTCTGTTCAAGAAAACACCACTGTGGCTTCTGTTGGTGCAACAGCAAAACCCACCTTGGACTCACACTCAGAATCAGCTCTGGCCTCTGGTTCCACAGCCACTGTTGCCTCTTCCACAGCTCCTGAAGCTGTACAGGAAGCCCCTGAGTTAGTCCCTACAGATAGCCCCACCCCTGCTGCCCAGTCAGAAGAAGAGCTGAGGGAAGACCCAGAGAATGAGCCATCTGGCACAGCACCAGTCCAGTCCTCTGCTTCAAGGTTGGATAATAGTTTTATGTAAACTGTGGCAGTTTAATTGTTTGATCAAGAAATATCATAAGAAGTTGTAAAATGGGTAGGTAAGCTCATATTATTCTAGTTTAGATGGTTATATATCGAAGAAGCTCTAATTACTTTCTGCATGTCTTGTCACCTTCAAAGAATCAAGGTCATTTTGTGCCTTGTGTGAGAGCATGGAGAATTACAACTTTAGATGTAATGCGTAGGTGGCCCAGTACTTTTCTTCGTATAGTGAAGCTGAGTAGTAATTGCAGTGACAGTTTTTTTTCTTCAAGCATAAGTGTGCTGCTGTAGGTTGATCATAAAACAACACAACCTTGATGAACACGGTGAATATGGATTCATTTTCATTGTTTAATCAGTATTTCATTCATTCTGGCCATGTTAGTGCTGTGGCTGTAGTGAGGAACTGAACATGATGTATGTTATTTACTTTTTTTAGTTTTAGTATATTACTGGCACTCAATTCAGTTTGATTTATATCGTGGCAGTTCACAAAAACAGTCATCGTATGCAGGAAGAGAACCTGAGTAGTGCATATAAGCATTAAGTTATATCATAGTGCCTCAATATAGAGCAAGGAACACTTAAAATCCTAAATCCTGGTTCTTTAGAATGAACATTTATGTCATGTTTTATCTGTTTGTTCATCTCGCTCAGCCTCGTTGATGAACTGGGTCTTCTTGAAGAAGCAGCATCAATACTGGGTAATTATCAGTGATTATTCTTTTCTTTGTCATAACTAGTAAAATACTAATGTACTAATTATATGGTGCTTTTTGTTTTAATCATTAGAGTGCGTCTGATACAGTAAACATTTTCTATATTACAGCATACGTGGAGATAGTAAGGAAATTAGAACAGTAGTTTCTATTGAAAAATTCAGCATTTAAACAGATACAGACTAAATAAGTGGAGTTCAGTTTTAGCCAGTAGTTGACAGCATTTTTTTTCCCCAAGCTTGACGGGAAATGTATCTTGCCCACTGCAATACTTTGGCAAGATACGAACGAGCCACCAACCTCCTGATTAGCAGACAACCTGTTCCTGAGCCAAAGCCCCTATGATGTACAGTACTGTGCAAAAGTCAGGTGCTACCTCTCATTTATTCCTGTTTTGCTTCCAATGAGTGAGACTGTTTTCCTTTGGACATTGGCTACTTTCTTACTCAATTTAAGTCCTGATCTTTTTGTCTGTCTCTTAACTCTGACCTATGGGTCATAACTCAACTGATGATCCACAGTTGTGTCAAGACATAACACACAACAAAAAAACAAACAAA